AGAAGTTCGTAAAAGTCTTCCATTTCTTCATCTTTGGCTTTAGTGGTTGGTGCATAAATTTAAATAATAGTCGTATTAACTGGTCTTCCTTGTAGGCATATGGATATTATCCTATCATTGACAGCATTGTACTTTAGGATAGATCTTGAAATGTTCTTTTTCATGATGAATGCAACACAATTCCTCTTCAAGTTGTCATTCCAACATAGTAGACCACATGATTTTCCGATTCACAATGGCCAATATCAGTCCATTTAAGCTCACTAATGCCTAGGATATCAATGTTTGTGTGTACCATTTCATTTTTGACGATTTCCAATTTTCCTAGATTCATACTTCATACATTCCATGTTGCGATTATTAATGGATGTTTGCAGCTGCTTCTTCTCATTTCGAGTCATGCCACATCAGCAAATGAAGATCCCGAAAGACTGACTCCATCCACACTGTTAAGGTCGACTCTACTTTGAGGAGGCAGCTCTTCCTTAGTCATAGTTTAAGTGCCTTTCAACTTGAGGGGCTCATCTTCCAGCACTATGTTGGACAATGTTCTGCTGCTATTTATAACATTTTTCTGGGTAATTTTTTTCAGAAGTAAACCACCAGGCTCTTCTTCCTAATCCTATTGTTGTTAGTTGTGGTCAAGTTGGCTCCAACTCATGACAACCTTATGTAAAACAGAAAAAAATGTTGCCCCATCTTGTGCCATCTTCATGATCATTGGCATGTTTGAATCCATTGTGGTAGCTATTGTGTAAATCTAGCTCATTGAGGGTTGCCCTTGTTTTCAGTGACCCTCTACTTACTTTACCAAATATGATGTCCTTTTTTAGCAATTGGTGTTTCCTGATGTCATGTCCAAATTAAGTGAGCCAAAGTCTTGCCATTCTCACTTCTAAGGATCATATGTTTCTTCTAAGACTGATCTTTTCATTCTTTTGGCTGTCCATGGTATATCCAATATTCTTCAACAACACCACAATTCAAATACATCAGTGCTTCTTCTGTTTTCCTTTTTCATTGTCCAGCTTTGTCATGCATACGAGGTGACTGAAGAGACCATAGCTTGGGTCAGGCACAACTTAGACATAAAAGTATAACGTTTGTTTTTTAAAACTTTAAAGAGGTCTTTTGCTATAGATTTGTCCAATGCAGTACACCATTTTATTTTGTGAATGCTGCTTCCATGGACATTGATTTTTGATCCATGAAGAATGAAATCATTGATTTCACTTTTTTCTTCATTTTTCATTATGTTTTTTTATCGGTCCAGTTGTGAGGATTTTTGTTTCCTTCACATTCAGATCTAATCCATACTGAAGGCTTACCTTCATCAGTAAGTGCTTTAAATTGTCTTATTTTTTGGCAAGCAAGGCTGTATCATCTCCATATTGCAGGTTGTTAATGAGTCTTCCTCCAATTCTAATGCCACATTCTTCATATAGTCCAGCTTTTCATATTATTTATTTGTTCAGCGTATAGACTGAATAAATAAGGTGAAAGAACATAACCCTACCGCACACCTTTTCCAATTTGGAGCCATGTAGTATCCTCTTGTTCTTTTCAAATAACTGCCTATTGATCCATGGACAGGATCTGTATGAGCACGATTAAGTGTTTTGGAATTCTCATTATTCACAAGGTTGTCCATAATTTGTTATGATCCACTAGAACATATTTATTTAAAGGCAAGGTGTGAGTGGTATCAACATGGTAAGTTGTACAGAAAAAGTAGGCCCAGGGTCAAGTACTGAGTATTTCAACATTTAGAGATCATTTAGAGGATGCAAAGCAGAGAAACCGCAGTCACAGGATGCATGGTATCACAGAAGCAAAGGGAATTTTTGTACAGAAAGAAATGATCTACAATATCAAATCATACTGATAGTTATACTAAGAGAAGGATTAAAAGAGAAAAGTCTACTAGATTTGTCAGCATGGACTTTATCAGTGACTTTGGGATGAGCAGATGAGCAATTTTAACAGAGTGGTGGAATCAAAGTCAAATCCAAGTGGGCTGAAGAGTAAATGGAGTGAGCAAGCGGAGACAGCTTGTATTAAGTATTTTGCTATGGCGAGAGGCAGAGAAATAGGACAGTGGTTGGAGGGAGATGTGAGATCAAAAACAATTCTTTTTGTTTGTTTTGTTTTGTTTCATTGAAAGATGGGATATATAAAGGCAAGTTTGACTGGAATGACACAGTAGAAAAGGAGAAAAAAGCAAGGGGAGGGCTAATCAAATGGGCAGTTTTCTTAGTCATTCGTAACATAAGATTTCTATGAAGATTTTGGCAAATAAAAATTCAGAAATTTAAATATAAGGTGATGCTATTGAAAAGTGAAAATTCACATTTAATTAAGTCTCATATTAGCCTCATCTAAGTCTTGTGCCAAACCTAAAGAAGTTATATTAAACTTTTCTGATACTATTTCTAGATTTTTGAGGAAGAGGAAAAATTACAATAAATGGAACAAAAAGGGATAAAGTGAGAAATGAGATATATAAACAGGATGAACAACTGAAGTGAATGGTACAATGAAGGTATAATTAGATATGAACAAAGAAACTGTGCAAGTAGGAAAGAAAGATATAGGTAAAATTCATATCACACAGAAACATGAGATTTACATAATAAAAAGCTCTTATCTAAATCATCATCAATGGACCTCAATGACCAATGACAGTCTGGAATTAGTAGAAAACTAAAAGTAAATTATTTAACTTCATATGGATAGCTTAAAAATATAACTGAATTAAAGATTATTATGAAAATGAACTTTAAAACACAATGGAACAACCAGAGTGCAATCAATGAGAATGTTGACATGTTGTGAAAAATGTAACTAATGTCACTGAACAGCTTGTGTAGATGTTGTCAGATGGGAACCTAATTTGCTGTGTAAACTTTTACCAAAAACACAATAAAATATTACTTAAAAAAAAAAAAAATACACACACAATGAAATAGTACTTTGTCAAAGAAAAACTTATTTAAAAGTCCATGAAGTTAAAATACAAACTTCCTCAGAAAGTGATTTTGTCACTTTCTTTGTCTGAACACTGAAGTTGTAAACCTAGCAAAGTATTAGGATGCATGAGGCAGACTACTGAGAGAGTAAACAAATGAAGCCCAAAATATTTTATAATAAAACACAAAAGCAGTGTATAGGAAGTAGATAAAGAAGCACTTGAACTACTACTACTACTGCTACTGCTACTGCTACTGCTACAGCTGCTGCTGCTGCTACTACTACTACTACTCTGTCAACTAATGTTTATTATAGTGCTTGCTATGTGCCAGGCACTGTTTTAAGCCCATTTAATATTTAATACGCACTCCTCACAATAACTGTATGAGGGAAATACTGTAATTATCCCCCATTTAATGAAAAACTAACTAAGGTATCAACTCATACAACTAACAAACAGCAGGTAGCCTGACTCCGGAGTCCGTGTTGTTAGCCCCCATACTGTACTGCCTCTGTTATATCAAAGGAAGGGTAAATTTTCTAGATCTTATAGGATACAGTGACTCCATCTGGATATTATGAGAACACATACATTATGCAAATTATTTTATTCCCAGAAGCATTTCACTCTTCAATTGCTGTTGACATGATTTAAAAAGATACTACTGTTCATTTTTTTCCAAAAAAGCATTAGAAAAAATATTACTCTTTAAAAGAAAGAAAAAGTACAGAAAAAGGATATTCACTCAGTATATCAATAACAATAGGCCAACTTTTATATTTCATAACTACAAAACTCAGAAACATACTTGCTATGCAAAAGAAGTTCTACTAAACGGCTTTTTCATAGTATTTGCCATAGCTGCTTGCTATGTGATATATCTGATGCTATACACTGAAAGTTAAAATTTAATGTGAAAATATATTTTGAGAAAAAGGGCATACCAGCCAAAAGTCTATGATAGTTGCAGCTTTTTAACATCTTTTATGAAGTAGAAAATCCAGAGATGAAGCTCAGCTATTAATGAATGTTAAAAAAAAAAATAGTTTAAGATCTGTAGAATATACTACCATTAGAGAATTCCAAGTTTAGAAAAGTAATTGCTTTATTTCTTAGCTAGAGCACCCTCACTGACCCCTTCATGACTGAAAAAGTTACTTTGCTGGTAGTTACTGTTGTACAAGTCGAGTCGATTCCAACTCATAGCTACCCTACAGGACAAAGAACTTCCCCATAGGGTTTCCTAGGCTGTAATCTTTACAGAAGCAGATCACCAGATTTTTTCTCCTGTGGAGCTGCTGGTAGTTTTGAACCGCTGACCTTTTGGTTAGCAGCCAAGCACTTAGCCATTGCACCACCAGGCCTCCTTACTTTGCTAGTAGATAGGAAAAAAAAAAATCATGAACCAATAAAATCTGAAAATTTCTTTAAATCAGCTGTTTTTAATAGTAATAATTTGTAGGTGAAGAAGCAAGTTATACATCTAAAAATAACCAAAAGATTAAGAATTTTGTGAGTCTCTGGAGCTCAAACGTCTCTATTTTCTTTTCCACTTGAACATGCTAAATAAAATGTCAAGGAATATAACCTTAACCAGAAAGATATAAACCTCAGAAAAACTGAAGTTGAAGAGTAATGATTTACATCAAAGAACAAAATTTGGGCCAAGAGATGAATCATCCATTTCCAGGTCTCTTTGAAGACTCTTATGACAGGAGTCTAAACAAATACCAACCCAGGAAAGCCCCATTTCAGAGTGAGCTGAATGAAAGAGTTCCCAAAATGTCTCTATTATATTGAGCAAAAGTGGAAGATACTATAATAATACAGCATGTAAATGAAGACAAAGACCATGGTACAAAAACCTAATGGTTATAATTTTCTTTGTCTGTAATTTTAGAAAAAGACAAATCACCTTTAAGTTTAAAAATTAGCTTATTTTAAATAGTTTTAAAGTATATCAAACATATTTATAAAATCATTTTTTACACAGAGAATATAATATCTAAAGTAAAATTTAGCACCTTACCTTAGTCCAAAGGTATGTGATTGTTCGTAGTTAAATAAAGAACGAATCTTAGCTTCAGAATTCAAAATTATAAGTCTATCAATAATATCCTGAAAAAGAAAGACTTAGAGTAAGGCGGTGCTTTACTAAACAACCTTAAAAAATCAAATTAACAAATATTTATTTAGATTAATGATTCTAAAACTTGGCTCGACATTGAAATCACCTAGGGAGCTGTAAAAAACACTGATGCCTGATTTTCACCCAAAAAAACTAAATTAATTGGTCTGAGTGTGGCCTGGGCATTAGGATTTGTAAAAGATCCCAAATGAATCTAATGTTCAGGCAAAGTGGTGGTGGTAACTGCATGCCATCAAGTCAATTCTGACTCATAGCAACCCTATAGGACAGGGTAGAACTGCCCCCCTTAGGTTTGCCAAGCTGTATTCTTTACTGTGGGAGAAAGATGGGGGCAGTCTGCTTCCATAAAGATTTACAGCCTTGGAAACCCTATGGGGAAGTTCTACTCTGTCCTACAGGGTTGCTGTGAGTCAGAATTGACTCAACTACAGTAGGTTTGGTTTGTTTCTTAAATCTTGATGGAGCAGATTGCCAGGTATTTTCTCCTGCGAGGTGGCTAGTGGGTTCGAACTACTGACCCTTCTGTTAGCAGCTGAGCACTTAACCATTGTGCCACCAGGGATGCTTAGCCAAAGTGGAGAACCAATAATTTATACCTCACTCAGGATCTCTGTGAGCCATTTATACAGCCAGTGAAATACTGATAAAATTTCCAAACATGTAAAATACTTTGAGAAACAAAAATGGAATCCACAAATGTGAAGCATTTATAGAGGATCTAAAAATGTTTGATACAGTAACTATTTGAGATATGGAGCCCTGGTGGCACAGTGGTTAAGAGCTACACCTGCTAACCAAAAGGTCAGCAGTTCAAATCCACCATCCACTCCTTGGAAACCCTCTGGATCAGTTCTACTCTGTCCTATAAAGTCGCTATGAGTTGGAATCAACTTGACGGCAATGGGGGTATTGAGATTTTGTGAACAGATATTCTCTGTTAATACAAATCAGTGGTTTTCAGCCATGGCTGAACAACAGAATCACCTAGGGAACTTAAAAAAAATATAGGTACCCAGGCTCTACCCTAGACCAATTAAATCATCATTCCTAGAGGTGGCATCTGGCATCAATACACTTGAACAGCTACCCAATATGTTTCAAGTGAAACCTGGGTTAAAAACCCCTGATGCAAGTACAGAGAGAAGCTGATGACATAATGGAGGTGCTACTGGTAATTCCAAGCACTGACAACTTAAGCCTAACAAACAATTTTGAGCACTCTAAAATCCTTTCTTTCTACAATAGCCTGCTTTTATGTTTATCTTTGAGTCCAGGCCTAAGAATCTTATTAGTACAAATAGCTGTCTCTCTATATCCTGAAGAAACTTGCTACCACTCCAATGAGTTTAAATCCAAGATACTTCTGTGATCAATAGGCAAAAGGAGGAAGGATTTGCTAGGGAGTAAAGTCAGATAAAATATTTTCTTTTTGCTGGCTTGTGTGTTGCTACGATGCTGGAAGCTATGCCACCAGAACCTCAAATACAAGTAGGGTCACCCATGGTGGACAGGTTTCAGTGGAGCTTCCAAAGTAAGACGAACTGGAAAAAGACCTGGCAATGTGCTTCCAAAAATTAGCCCATAAAACGTTACGGATAACAAAAGAACACTATATGATACAGTGCTGGAAGATGAGGCCCTCAGGTTGGAAGACACTCAACTCCTCAGAGTAGAGTAGACCTTAATGACGTGCATGGAGTAAAGTCTTCATTTGCTAATGTGGCATGACTCAAAATGAGAAGCAACAGCTGTAAACATTCATTAATAATCAGAACATGGAACGTATGAAGTATGAACCAAGGAAAACTGGAAGTTGTCAAAAATGAAATGGAATGCCTGGCGATCGATATCCTAGGCATTAGTGAACTAGAATAGACTGGTATTGGCCATTATGAATCTGACAATCATATGGTCTGCTATGCCAGAAACAACAAATTGATGAGAAATGGCATTGCACTCATTGCCAAAAAGAACATTCCAAGATCTAGCTTGAAGTACAATGCTGTCAGTGATAAGACAATATCCATACATCTACAAGTAACACCAGTTAATACGACAGTTATTCAAGTATATGTACCAACTATGAACGCCAATGATGAGGAAATTGAAGAATTTTATGAACTGCTGCAGTCTGAAATTGATCAAACGTTCAGTCAAGATGCAGAGATAATTACTGGTAATCAGAATGTGAAAGTTTGAAACAGAAAACAAGGATCAGTAGTTGGAAAATACAGCATTGGTGACAGGATCAATGTTGGAGATCACATCACAGAGTCATAGTACCAAAAGTAAAAAGTCAATGTTCAACCATTTCAGGATGTAGCATATGATCAAGAACTGCTGGTACTGAAGGAAGAAGTATAAGCCATGCTGAAGGCACTGGCAAAAAATGAGGCTACAGGAATTGATGGAATACCAATTGAGATGCTTCAACAAACACATGCAAGGCTAATAGTGCTTACTTAACTATGTGAAAAAATTTGGAAGAGAACTACCTAACCAACCAACTGGAAGAGATTCATATTCATGCCCATTCCAAAGAAAGATGATCAAACAAAATACAGAATTTATTGAACAATATGATTAATATCACATGCTAGCAAAATTTTGCTAAAGATACTTTAAAAACAATTGTGAAACTGCCAGAAATTCAAGCTGGATTCAGAAGAGGACATGGAATGAGAAACAACATTGCCGATATCAGATGATCTTGTCTGAGAGCAGAGAAAACTGTGTGGATCATAACAAATTACAGGTAACACTGGGAAGAATGCGAACTCCGGAACACTTAATTGTGCTCATGAGGAACCTGTGCATGGATGAAGAGTAGTCATTAGAACAGAACGAGGGGGTACTGCATTGTTTAAATTGGAAAAGGTGTGAAGCAAGGTTGTATTCTTTCACCGTATGTATTCAATCTATATGCTAAATGAATAATGTACTATGCCAGATTAGAATTGGAGGAAGACTCATTAGCAACCTGAGACATGCACATAACACAATGACTTGAAGCACTTACTGAAGAAGGTAAAAGACTGTAGCCTTCAGTATGGGCTCCATATGAACATAAAGAAAGCAAAAATCCTTACAATGGGACCAATAAACAACATCATGATAAATGCTAAATAAATTGAAGTTGTGAAGGATTTCCTTCTTGGATTAATAATCAAGGCCCATGTAAGCAAAAATCAAGAAATCAAAGAACATACTGCACGGGGCAAATCTAGTGCAAAAGACCTCTAAAATGTTAAAGCAAAAAAAAAAAAAAAACTTTTCCAAGGTCTTTAAAAGTATAAAAAAACTTCACATACCTGTTACTTTTTCATCCTCCGGTGGCTTGTGTGTTGCTGTGATGCTTGAAGCTACGCTACCAGTATTTCAAATATCACAGGGTCATCCATGGTAGAGAGGTTTCAGCGGGGCTTCCAAACTAAGACAGACTACAAAGAAGTACCTGGCAGACTAATTCTGAAAAAACTGGCCAGTGAAAACCTTATGAATAGCAGTGGAACATTCTCTGGTATAGTGTCAGAATATGAGCCCCTCAGGTTGGAAGGCACTCAAAATACAACCAGGGAAGAGTTGCTTCCTAAAACAGAGTAGATCTGAATGGTGTGGATGGAGTCAAGCTTTGGGATCACAAGTTGCTGATGTAGCATGACTCAAAATGAGAAGAAACAGCTGCAAACATCCATTAATAATCAGAAAGTAGAATTATGAAGTACAAATCTAGGAAAACTGGAAATCATGAAAAATGAAATGGGACATATAAAGATCAATATCCAAGGCATTAGTGAGCTGAAATGGATTGGTAGTGGCCCTGATGAATCAGACAATCGTGTGATCTACCATGCCAGGAAGGAGAAAGTGAAGAAGAATTGTGTTCCATTCATCATCAAAAAGAACGAACATTCCAAGATCTACCCTGAAGTAAAACACTTTGTCAGTGATAAGAAAATATCCTTACGCCTACGAGAAAGACAAGTTAATACTATTATTCAAATTTACACATTAACTACTATGCCAAAGATGAAGAAATTGAAGATTTTTACCAACTTCTGCAGTCTAAAATTGATCAAACAGCATTTAAGATGCATTCATAATGACTGGTGACTGGAATTCGAAAGTTGGAAACAAAATCAAAGGATCAGTAGTTGGAAAATGTGGCCTTGGTGCCAGAAATGATGCTGGAGATTGCACAACAGAATTCTGCAAGACCAACAGCTTATTCATTACAAACACCTTTTTTGAACAACATAAACCGCGACTATACACATGGACCTCGCCGGATGGAATACACAGGAATCAAACTAACTACATCTGTGGGAAGAGATGATGGAAAAGCTCAATATTATCAGTCAGAACAAGGCCAGGGGCCAACTGCAGAACAGACTATCAATTGCTCAGATGCAAGTTTAAGTTGAAGCTGAAGAAAATTAAAACAAATCTGCAAGAGCCAAAATACAACCTTGAGTATGACCCACCTGAATTTGAAGACCATCTCAAGAACAGATTTAATGCATTGAACAATAATGACTGAAGGCCAGAAGAAGAGTTGTGGGATGATGTCAAGGACATCACACATGAAGAACGCAAAAGGTCATTAAAAAGATAGGTAAGAAAGAAAAGGCCAAAGTGGACATTGAAAGAGACTCAAACTTGCTTCTCAACTACAGTAGCTAAGGCAGAAGGAAGAAATGATGAAGTAAAAGAGCTGAGCAGAAGATTTCAAAGGGCAGCTCGAGAAGACAAAGTATTACAATGAAACATGCACAGACCTGAAGTTAGAAAACCAAAAGGGAAGAACATGCTCAGCATTTCTCAAGCTGACAGAAATGAAGAAAACATTCAAGCCTTGAGTTGCAATACTGAAGGATTCTATGGGCCAAATATTGAACAATGCAGAAGCATCAAAGGAAGATGGAAGGAATACACAGAGTCACAGTACCAAAAACAATTGGTCGACATT